CGATTCGGTTTCTGAATTGCTTCGGATAACTATGAATGAAACCACATGGCAGAGTTTGCAAACCTGGTTGATTGACTAGGGATATGCCCGAGTCAACTAGACGAAGCCAACAACAGGATCAAATAGAAGTTTTAACCCAGTTTCCCTAAGTTTTGTGCAAGGAAGTAGTTAAAAATATATTTTTAAAATAAAGCTTAGGGGTATTTTCTAGTTAAATAAAAATTGAAATGGGCATGAATCAGGCTTTGGCTAGATTGGTTAGTTGTTGACATCACAACACTGTGTCCCAAGTTCAATTTATTTGGTAAATTGAGCCAATTTTGATGGCTTGCATAAGTCACCTACCAAGCTGCCACATCACCCTTGGGAGAGAACAAACTTTTTAAAGTCTTACCCATGGCTGGTAACTCATGTTTAAAATACAAATCCGTCTCTTTCACTATAAATTAGCATGCCACAAAATGCCTCATAATGAGGAGTGCACGAATACAGCCTTGCTTCCAACAACAACTACAAAATGCAAACAGTTCCTAAGAAAACTAATTAAACCCATAGAGTTAAAAATAGAGTTCTCTCTCTCTCTCTCTCTCTCTATATATATATATATATATATATATATATATATATTCTATCTCATAGACGAAAAAGATACAAGGATGGTTCTCTCTTTGACCTGCCTTGTCGATCCATTAAGTCACATGTCAATGCAACCCATATTTTCTATCTCATAGATGAAGAAAGATACAAGGATGGTTCTCTCTTTGACCTGCCTTGTCAACCCACCAAGTCCATGTCAATGCAACCCAGTGATTGACTGCCCCCGGGATGGGTCCGTGTTTGCAAACCATGCCACATGGTATTGCCTATGGGTTGGTAATGAATCCATGTCCAAAAACACGAGTACTGAAGTACAAAATTATATCATACAATTAAAAGATCCAAGTCCAGACTTATGCCCCAAAAAGGGGCTGTCATTCTAGGCAGGTCCATCGACTCCACCCCACCTAGATATGGCTAAACTGGTCAAATCAATGACATGACCAGCAGAATGAGATATACCATACTAAAAAATACTTCTTGATTAAACTCTTTGATGATATTCACATTAAGATATGGGCTCTGATGGTTTTGATAGACCAAAGTACAAGGTAAAAGATGATGATGACAACAACCCAAGAAGAGACGATACAAACGAAGACTACAACACGGGAAAATCAAGAAGAAAACTGATGATTGCACCTCCTTATCCAGAGATATTCTAGACAAGCAAGAGAGATTTTTAAGAAATTTAAACATATTGACAGATAAAAAAAACAAAATAGTGATCATAACATATATGTTTCTAAAATCCGCCCACTTCGGCACAAAGCAAAAACATAAATTTTGGATATAATACATAGAACAAAAATCAAAATTTACACTCGATAATCACCAGCACAACTTCCCCATGAACAATTTAGCCTCCACAGAACGAGAGCATATATGACATGAACCTTGATACTATAGATATCAAGTTGCACAAGGGCAAGTAGACAACTACGTAAAGAGACTCCAAAGTTAAAGTAGCAAACCTATCCAACCTCATTCTCCCAATGAGCCACAAGATCATAGACAAAATATATCTAAAGAATGAAGAAAAAAAAACACGAGCATTCAATAAGTCAGCCAAAAAGAACCATATTTCATATTCAACAGATATTAAATGCTCTAGCAAAAGTGGCAGGAAAAAAGGAACAAATTGTTGAAGGGACATCTTTAATACAGGTAGAACTCTGCAATCAGAAGTTTGGTCTGAATTTCACAAGGGTGTCACATCATAGATAAGACGGAAAGCTCACTACTAGTATGATTAGCAGCCCTAGATCACTTAAAAACATAGAGACCAACTTAGGGTACTCGCATTTCAATTGAAGGTATTACAAACTGCATTCCTCTAATATTGTCAAGGGGCATAAATATAATACAAATGATAGCAGAAACAACTCCATAGAAATGTTTGTAGCCGCTCATTTTTAATGGTTGTTCCCCATGGTCAGATCTTTCCTTACATTTATCGGCAAATAACTGCACCTTTTCACATCTTTTGAGTAGCATTCAAAACATAATATATCGTAAGAGATCTTTGTAGAGAAAAAAATCACAATGTGGCACTTTGGTAGCTCTACTTCGGATTTATCAGTATCAAGAAATCAATAGAACTAAAAGAGCCAGGTCCAGTACTTCCACGTTTAGGGCTTAGCTTCATTAGAAAGAGGATAAATCATCTTTATGGCCAAAATTATTCACGACATTAGAGGGGAAGAGAAAATCAGCCATAGCCCAGCCATTACAACCAACAGAGTGTTCAACATAGAATTTGAAAATAGTTGCCTCCTCCAAGAGACATATTAGAAGATACGGCACTACCCAATATTGCCAAACATGTTCTATTTGTGGTCAATCTTTTTTGAGAAAGTATTTGTGGTCATTCTTTCTTCAACAATTCCATATATACCAGATGTATTGTGCAATTTCTTGTAAATACATCAACTAGATAAATTCAACTAAAAGAACTCGGAAGTACGATTGAGAGAAACCATCCCCAATACCTTGTAAGTTACCCCATAAATCCTCACCTTGAAATTTTCAGAAGACCAAATTGCATGGCATTTACCATTGAAATTACCTAAGGTACTTTTGATGTAAAAAGATCACAGTGCAACATATCTATTATTGCAATTACTGATGAAAATTTTCATACAAAAAATTCAAACGTGTAGTAATTAACATTGAACTTAAGACTGTTTGGATACTATCACTTACAAAGATGTAAGCAAATGTATGTATAAAAAGACAGACCATCAATTCTGATAAGAAAAAGCAAGAAGCAATGAAATCCAGCTATACGACACTGGAACGGGTGAGAGGGATTCTAGACTCAACGCTTGAGATGAGACTACATTGGAACGAGACGGAGTTCACAGCGTCAAAATCCACTAGACAAGCATGAATGAGTGGGCGGCGAATGGACCAATGTAGGGGTCGGTGCTAGACCAATCTCTACCGCATCAACATCTGATGGGGTATTGCATGTACAGAGCCTAAACAGCACTACCAAGGTGCCGCAAACTCCCCCATCAGCATACCTAGGGAACACATACAATATCCACTTATAATCCCCCCAAACTTAACTAAAGCTAGCATGACCATGCACCTATTATGTTTGCCCCACTTAGTCACTCAACCACCTTAGATTGCCATTCAAAGCCAGAGGCACACAAATGCAGAAGTTAGAGAATAGAAGTGAAATATTTTGGTCTGGACTGGCCAATGGATGACATGGCTAGATTGTCACTGAAGAATCAGAATCCAACTTCTAAGATTAGACTTTAGTTCCAAATTATTTGTTATCAAGCCTTTGCCTCGTGGTCTCATTGTCCCTTCAGTCGTTCGTATGTCTCTAGTTCTTCAATCCATGATTCTAAGACACAATAGGAATAAACAAAGCATATCGAAATGTTGTAACATGGTTTATGAAGGAGGAATCCTGTGTCCTGTACAAACTCAATTATATATTCCTTTGCAAAAGCACCAATACAAAGTTGTGTTGTAATGCCTTAAAATTGCTTGAAGCCCATGAAAGTTATCCAATTTTTCCTGTTCTTGTGAGGTCATTAACACCTCAAACCTTATCGTGATTTCGATATCAAATATCATTCTTTATGCTCTAGAAATTTTGTATACATACCTGTGACTTTGGGTTCTATATGCATATCTATGACTTTGGGTAGATCCACGAACCAAACATAGGCATTGCATTATGGATTTTGAAAGCGACGTTTCTATAATAGAAATATACAAAAGTAGCTTAAGCATAAATAACACAACCTCAATAATCTTTAGGTATGAATCATAATGTCAAAACTCAGAAGACCATCAGATAACTTATGAAGTTTGATTGAATCAAATCAATCTCTTATTCATTTTATCATCATCATCATCACCATCAGCTTTTTTCCAACCATTTGGGGTTAGCTACACGAGTCTTGACCTACTATTCTACTCTATCTAAAGCCATACCCTCAAAGAGGCCATTAAGTCCCCATATCTTTTCTTACTACTTCCAACCATACCCTTTTGGGCCTATCCCTTGCCCTTTTTGAACCTTCCACTCGATCTAACTCATACCTCCTAAGAGGTGATGTACTGGGTCTGCACTGCACATGGCCATACCACCTAATTCTACTTTCTCAAATTTACCTCAACATAATATTATGTAACCTGAAATTTACAGAGACTAAAACATTAAGGTAGTAAGTCATTAAAATAATATTGAATCCACCTCTGCAGCAATTCATCATGTATTCATATTTCAAAGCAACCAAGATAAGCTCAAGTGATCATCTCTTGAGCAAATTAGGCTTGATTCTCTAAAGTAGATAACACAAAGGGCCACCAAAAATTTGCGAATATAAAATGGAGAATATCAGTTCCAAATTAAAAAGAGTATTAAGCCATGCAGTTGAAATCCGGATCAAACTTGCAACAACCAAACCAGATCATCATAAAATTTCTAGAAATGATATCAAAAAATTATATATATATATATATATATATATATATATATATATATATATAGTAGTAGTAAGGTAAGTACTAATAATTACTTACTAACGTAACTAATTATTAGTTA